CCGCCTCACGGCGCAAGGATCGCAGCTTAGATGCTCGGCTGGAGTCTGCCAACCGGGCTTCTATGTTGCATAAGAAGCGCACGGGCAAGGCCTTTCACATCACCAAGGATATCGTGGAGAAAGAGGCCATGTATGAAGAGGTCGATGAGCGGTATCAAGAAAAACGGATTCTCATGCTGCAACGCCAAAACGAGCAAATTGAAGAGCAGTTCAAAAACCATCTACTGGCCGCCTTTGCAGCACGCGCCCAATTCAACAACTCCTCTATCCACAGCCGCCGAGCAAGCCATATGACCCCGCGGCCATCACTCAATGGAGTCAATGGCGGTCCACGGAAGATGAGCTTGGATCTGTCGAATATTCGCTCCTCCTTCTCCCAGGGCCCAGGCTCAATGGCAAGCCCAATGCCCACGGGTGATGGCTATGTCCTATCACCTACGGCGTCGTACGACCCGAGTGCCCAGTCCTACATGGCCAGCATGAGCGGTTCCCAGACGCCATACTCCGACATGTTCTCTGCACCGACAGGCAACCAGTCTGGGCAGATGCCAGCCTACATGAGCCAACAAGCCTCCGCACCGGGCTGGAACTCCCAAGTACCCGCATGGGCGCCCATGCAACAGCAGAACCCAACCCCTGCACAAACGCCCACCGACGCGCAGGCCGTGCAGATGTGGCAGCAGCAAATGATGCAGCAGGCTCAAATGCCTGACACAGCGACCCAAATGCATCAGTTCCGGGATCGCCTTGCGTCCGCACCAGAGTTGCCTCTGCAACACACGGCTCCACCGATTCCCTCAGCATCCATCTCAGGCCCCACTGGCCACCATCCTACCCACGGTCATTCGCGCGGCCAGTCCCATCCATCGAACAACTTGCACAAACTCAATCTGCTTACTCAGACCACGAACCTTTCCCACTCGCAGGTGGCTCCCTCCAGTCTCAGCTCTCCCAGGATCGAGGCCCTCCCAGCGGGCACTCAGTCCACTCCGGACTTCTGTCCCACTCCCAACACCCCGCTGTCGCCGACGGCGCATGCTACGATGTCGCCCGGTGCGAAGTTCAACAGTGATGGCATTATGGTCTCCCATGAGGAGATGGATCCTGATTTCACGGATTTCAGTCAGTTTGCGTTCCACTTGGGTAACTCGAATGTTCCGCTTTCCGACCGTGATCAGCCTTTTGCTTTTGACGATCTTCTCGCTCTTGATGATTTCACCAGCGTCTCTTGTTAACCTCATCTGTCTATCATGCCTATTATGATCTATGATACCTGATACCTAGGTACTTATTTTCTCTTGGGTCTTTCGGAGTTGGGTCTGTATATTGGGTGGCTTTGCACATTTGCTGTACCTTTTTTTATATCTTCTCGTATCTTACATCTAATATCCTGAACTGGAGTCAGGGTTGATGTCTGTATGTATCGATTGCTCTTTCTTTTCATAAATTTTCCTTTACTATACTTCAATGTGACATGAGCCAAAATCCATCCACTGATCTTCTTCATAATAAAATTTCCCTAATTTCCCTAATTCCCCCAATTCTATACCTAAGTTGCATCCATCCGCAAACAACCTCGCCAAGTCCGCATCCTAATCCGGGGCTACTCCACCATCCCTTATAACTGCGCGATTATTGGCATCTCATTTTCTTTTCTGCGATAAACCTAGTCCCAGACTCTATGCTCCGTCGGGCCGTGCCAGTAGAGCTGTAGCTATAGCTTTCCCCAGTCCCACATTACATAGGAATGACTTCTGGCGTTTATCCTTAACCAGAATTGCGTCTGGTGTTAGTTAGCTTTCCCTAAATCCTAACTCTTGTGTCCACGCACTTTCTCCCTTGAAAATGCCGCATCCCAACTCCACCAACCGCACCCTTGGTACTCTGTAGTAATCCTCTAGCCCTGCTACGTGGGTCCAACACAAACCCACCCAGGTTCTCGCCTACGTACCTAAAGTCATTCCAGCGATCAGACCATCCTCAACTGTGGAACCCCTCGACTTAATTTCTATGCTGTCACTCATGACCAGCTATTCATGGAATAGGGTTAAACGGGATATAGGAGTACATACAACTGTGCTAGCGTAGAGTGTGATACAGTATCCTAATACTACTCACTTATCATGGCAGCAATTCTTCCATTATTACCAAAATTACAATACAATACAGTATCCCCGATTCCCTGTTTCCCACCCTGGACCCTGGACCATTATCTAGCATATCTCAGGCCAGGCCTTGCATGCTAGATAGAAATAGGTACTTTTGAAAAGGGAATCCTGCTTTCTCTATCTCTGTCATTGCAATTTCCTTGATCTCGCGTCTCGTCACAGTTACCGTGTGCTATCTCAGGAGTGTTTCCGACCCCGCGGGTTTCTGTCAAAACAAGAAACAGAGCGGATGGGGTCTCTGATTAGAATATGTTGATTTTTGGTATGGCCTAATAGTTAAATATCCTGTATTTTTCCGCGCAGTTATGGAGTTATTAGCTCCTCGGGTGGGATTTGAATTTCGTGCTGAAGAATTGAAACTGAAATTGAAATTGAAAATCCAAGTGTCCCGTGCTCCGTGCCCCGTGCCAGTGCCAGTGTCCGTGCCCTGCGGAATTGGCTCCAGGGCTGCTGTCCTACCCGCCCCTGCGTTCCCGGGATTACGGATCAACGGCGATAGTGCAGGATCGACTTATCGTTTTCTACTTCTGTTTTATCAGGGTGATGCGTTTGTCTTGTCAGCCCATATCAATGCTATCTACGTACTATGAGTGGTAGATAGAACAACTTGAATATATTTCCTATACCCAGATCTCAAATCCAAGACCCGCAATCCCTCAAAGTATGTAACCGACTACACGACCAAAAAAAAAAAAGAAAAGAAAAGAAAAGAATCACCTGCAGAATCCCAGATTGCGGGGTTAAGGTTGCAGCTGTGCCCAGCCTTGAAGCCAAGTCCGGACGTTAATTGGCCAACAGCAAACTAGCGTCCGCACTGACCCATGGATAGTATAGAGTCAATCAGCACCTCTACCACGGCCGAAACCCAAGTCCGAGGGCCGCGTACCAGCGGTCGAGACATGGGTATCATCGGCACACCCAGCAAATAGAACTCTAACTCGTCTCGCCTGGTGGAGCAAAGGGGGGATCTCCGTGCAGCTTCAACGGGGCCAGGTCCAGCACCCACCCACGGGCTTACTGTCGGTTTCCAGCTGGATGGGACTGCAACGCTGGCCCGTGCACACGTGTGGGAGCATGATTGGCGGTTACTTTTTCCCTTGCGTTTGACGCTGGGTTGGTGGCTTGCGGATCCAGTGGGTGGCCTGTCAGATTGTCAGATTGGGATGGGGGGATTGGCTTCCAAGGTAGATGATAGGCCCATGGGTTGGTGATAGACGCCTCCCCGGTGTGATAGCTCTGGGGGGAATGATTCGTGAGTCGGGCATTCTGGACTTGCCTCGTCTGTTCGCTCTTGTTGCGGCTTACGTACTACGTTTGAGGTGATTTCTAGCGACTGAATGTTCTTCTTCTGTTGAGGCCAATCAGACATGGAGTCTAGATTGGTTCGTTTGGGATGGCGCTATCGTCGTGTGCAATTAGTTGGATTGAGTCATTTCTTACTAAACTATATCCATACTGTACCTCATGGACAGCTATGAATCATGTCAACTTGAGACCTGGACCTGGCCATGATCATGCAACATCCTCTCTAAATCACCTAGACAGATACCTTCCAGTCCTTCTCAACCAACAGAAAGTCCTAAAATATCCCCGAATCACAACCCCAATTTACCCGGAAATTCCCCAGGGTGTGTCTCCATGATCAGCGCCCAGTCCGGATCTCTCGGTGCACAGTGGAGCATCAGTGGCTCCAGGAGTCCAGACGAGACCAAGAGCTGACTGTGGATGTGGTGTTGCCACCACGACAAGTGGGAGAACATCATCCCCAGATTTTAGCGAGTCGAGGATCTTCGGGATTTGGTCTAAGCTCATTCCTTCTTGAGTTAGTACAGACCCTGGCTTTGGTTTTATCGTAGGACGTGTAATCTCACAAGGAGATATCGGTATCACTGTTCCTTGGTGCTGCATACTTGGGACTTATCAATATCTCAACCAAACAGTAAGCAACACCATCTAGTTAGTCCAAGCCCCCTCAATCCGGCGATTCCAGACCTGTCACCTTCCAGACAGGATGGGTAGCTCAAATCTGACGGGCCAGTGAGAAGCGGAAAATGCACCCTCGCTTACATCCGATCCACTCATAATTCGAGACCTCCAGCTGATCGACGTCTGTACCCGAATCATAATCAAACACAGTAATCCAATGCGAAATGCCTTAAATGACGGCATACGAGGACCAATAAGCACGCCGGTCTGGACTCGGTCTTCTCCGTTGCTGCTGGTTGTGCATTGCGTGTGTGGTGGTGTTCGCGCCGCTGGACAGTTCTGGATGGGACACAATAAGACTGCGTTGTGGATTCCGGAAATGGTTCTCCGGGTGATGGCGGGTATGGGATTAGTGGATAGTATTCGACTTTGTCCGTACGATGGAGGATTTGCCTGATCGCCGTGGAGAGGTGGGTTTGGTCGGCTTTTCCCGATGATTGTTGATCCTGACTTGATATGGATGCTGGCTCATCTGGTTTATCTGGTATGGCGGGGACTCGAATCAGACGTGATAATCGAGATTCGAGTCTACAATGCAAGTGAGGAACTACGTAGGGAGATAGTCAATTCAAGTTGTTTGGTGTAATGCTGATCCACAATGGAAATAATATCCATTGCTAAAGACGATAATGACAGGCTAGGCAACGTTCAAAGGTCCATCCGCTTGCCTCCTATCTTGTATGGCTGATGAAGTGTGACAACATGGAAATATGCATATCTAGTTGGGCTGAATAGAATTAGGCTTGGTAACAGAAGCACGTCGGAGCGATTGCGTATATCGGGTTCAAATACAGTACTGAGAACATGCTTTGCAGTAGAGCCCAAGTTAAAACGTAGTGTATGCTCTTACATGCCACCACGACTGAAAAGCTCCCGGCCAATGTCACCGCTGCGGCGGACACTCTGGCTCGACGAACTACTGCGTCGGCGGCGGCTACGAGAGTCGGCCGGGTCGGCCGGGTTCAGCCCGCTGGCTCGGGCATGCAGGTTCAGGATGTCAGTCAAGCTGACCACTCCGGCGAGGCGTCCGGACACTCGGGCTCCGTCTAGGGCGGACGAGGGAATAGAATGCGAGATGGGTGATGGCACTGAGACCGCCACGGCTGGGTACGTGAAGGGTGGGTTAGGAGGTGGTAGGTGAGGGGCGGCATATTGAGAGGGCTGTGCATAAGATGTCACAGCTTCTTCAGAAGATTCTGAATTTGCAGTACCTCCGGTAGCTGGGCTGATACTGTTGGAAAGAGGGAGGTGTACGGAAGATTGCGATGGAGTTGGCGGTCCTGATGAGGTGGGAGATAACGGATCGGTCACCCAGAGTCTAAAGCAGTCAGTACATCTTGTGTTTATATCTCAAGTTTGCAGTAGTTACCGATGCGATCGAGTTGCCACGATCTTTGCGACTGTGTGAGCGAGTGTCGATCCAGGATTGACGTGGAAGACCGGGAATGAGTCTTTACCCTCAATCAACCCCCGTGTAGATAGAATAATCGAGATAAAGTGGGTACAGGTGTTATGCAGAAGTGGCAATGAAGATGATCGGGTCAAGAGCTACGAAATGGTGAGTAAACTTTGCCAGTTAAGATGGCTCGTCACATACCTTGACATCCGCCGTGGAGATATTCCCAAGCACGTTCAAGTAGTTATCAACCACCGCGATCGAGGACATACCCTCATTGTTCATCACATGGAGAGCATCAGAGAGGGGTTTATCACCACTGAGAATTACGAATTAGCGGTTAGACAGCGCTAAAGATCACCAAAACAACTCACTTGATGGAGATCACTTCCTGAGATCCAATAACTAGCTCATTCAGAGCCCTCGGGTAGAGCTCTTCAATAATCGGGAAACTGCGGCGATTTTCCCAGAGGAATTTGACCAGTCGGAACTGGCTGAAAATCCCGACCACTTCTTGGTCATTTGACTCATTGACAACCACAACCCGGTGAACACCACCACCAAAGATCTCAACCGCGGCCAAGACATTGGCCGACGCTGGCAGCTTGATCAGCGGCTCCTTCTCCATACCGAACTTCTTCACATCTCTTAATGGAATGGGCACGCCGTTGTGGGCTTTCTTGGCTAGCTCGTCATATGACGCTTGATGTGCTTCGTCCGGATGTGTCAGGCCCGCTGCTAAAAGGAGATAGGAATTGAGATCGGCATAGTCGAATGTGCCCACGGCAGAAGTGGACTCGGGTGTCTCGCGAATCAACAGCACAGCGCCACCTGAATCAATCAAAATCTAGTTGGACGAGCATGTTAGTCAGGACAGGGAATGCTGCCTATGTGATGTACTCACGTTCGTCGCCTCTTCAATGCCTGTATCAAGCTCGACAAACTTCAGGTCGCCCGGGCTGACCAGCTCCCCAACTGATATCTCTCTCCAATCACGACCAACAAAGGCAGGGTTGCTAGCCTTGGGTGGCGGTGGATTATCGATAAGGCTCTGGATGGCCGACTGTGGGAGTGATGGCTGCCGGCGTGCACGGGGGGAACCTGGCGGGCCGCGAAGCGACTCGCTCAAGCTTTGTCTATGCTGGTGGTTTGCTGAAATGCGAAGTGGATTTCGAGAGCGAGATTCGGTGCTGGATCGCGGAGAAGCAATCGATGCATTGTTGAGGGAAGCATCAGATCCTTCGCGAGAATGTAAGTGGTCTGCCATGTCTAAATTTTCGGGAATTTGAGGTTAAAGATAAGGGCCAATATACGAAATGTGAAATCCAGGTAATCCTTCTGAGGTCATCAGGTGATGCACCATATTAAGCGGGCCCATAGGCGGGGTAGACTATCGAGCCAATCAAAACACGCCAATGCCAGTTGACATTTTGCAAGTTTGACCGCCTATAGTATTGTCTATAGCAAGTGCATAGTATCACCCTGATATCAACAGTGATTGTGGTTATCATCACGTTACCCTTTACATGTTTAATTAAGCGAGCATATGTCGCTGTTTGTCTCATTTGTAAATAGTGGCAGAAGCCGACCGCCCTCAGGATAACTATAAGAAGGTGTCCCTGCCCCCAGAATTTCTTCTTCTTTTCTTCCTTCTTCAGCTCTCTTTGCCTCTGGCTTAGATCAAGTGTAGTATCTGTTCTATTCAGTTTAATCGCTGAATGTTCTGCATTGCAGAACGTCATGATTATTCTAATATTTAGACCTCGCGACTTGGCCTCTGTGCTTGCACATGCCTCGTTGCACAGTGTCATTGGGCTTACACTACCCCCGATCGACGCGAACTCCTTTTCATCAATTGTTCGGCTTGTCCGGGCGCTTGGAGAAGACGGGATGTTTTGCTATTCACAATGAACGATCATAACTATTGTTATTGTAGTGGGGATCCAGAGTAGGATGACTAAGCGGCCATGTGATCCATGGATCCACCTCTATAGCTATGTAAGGCATCCCTAACATCTTCAATTTTCTTGTTCTCCTCTCTAACAACTACTCTCAGTGAAGGACCTTGCTCTCATCCTTTCTCACAGGCAGGGCTGTCGGTAACCATACTCCCTGTCGCAGGGAATAATCGCTCATGCGGCCTTGTTGTGTCTTTTGAGTGGTCTTTTTACATGTCTTCTTACCTGTCTTTTCAACTATCTCCTCCCCTTTCTTTTAACTTTGCTAACGGCAAAGGCGTAAAATGAGCAGACGAAGTCGGATCCCGCCCCCACACTAATGTCTGACCTGCCTGCAGGGCATGTAGTCTCCTCAGAACTGACGAGACTGCGACTAGAGGCACAGCACATTTTTGAATGGTTTGAGGAGCATCAACACGGCAACCAGTGATTGTGGTGCTCGGTCTGTCACCACCGGTAATCGAAGCACCCACAAGCGACCACCGCGGTCTTGGGGGAATCGCATTTCGATTTCAATGGGAGGGCTCTACCGGCCTTATCAAGGTCGTCCCTAGAATCGAACATCACATTGCCACAGATAAGTTCGTTGAAATAAATCGCGATTATTATAAGGCCATAGGTATCCCTAGGGAAGGATCGGCTTAGATCGGATCGATAACTTACCGATCTGGTATTAGGAAGGGTAAAGAAGCAGATAATGGCTTTATACCCCCCTCTCGTTACACTCGGCCGATTTAAAACTTTGGCTACCCTATACTTATTATTGAAACGGGTGTTATGGAATCGCTTGGCCGACTTCGCTAAGATACACGGAAATGGTTCGCAGATTCTAGGGGCGACATTAGAATGGTCGTTCTCATTCTTCTTAGGGATGACTGTATCTCTTTCGAGCAGTGGCAGTTGGCCCTAAGCGGTGCTCCCCGCCCGCTAACTTGGAATTACATCTGGTCCCTCCAGACACAAACCCCAAACATACCACTACTAACCAGACAGCCGGCATAACTTCAGCAACCTTATTGTGCCTATCATGTGAATATAACACCAAAACCGGTTGCGGGAATACCAAATGTTATGGATGGGAACCCCATGGTCTTCCCCTTCGTTGTAATCCAGGATCGTCCCCTAGGTCCAGGGGAGGGAGACCTTGTTCTTGGGCTAAAAGACTTCAATTTTGTGACGGAGCTCTTGCTTTGATTTGAAGAAAGCTATCTCAACGTTCAGCTTTGCCAACTTCAACAGTGGTGCCGCTGCACAGAGACTGGATGAAATACAGCGAAACACAAGAATGACTGGTTAAAAGCATACTTACGACATGTCACAGGCCACGAGGCCATCGAGGACGAATAGTACAACTTGTATTCATAGCCATTCTTCTATGCCTATGATAGCTCAATGAGATTGATTTGCTCTTGAAATAATGAACCGATTCATTCCTTTCTTATAGCGGTGATATAGGACCACAGTCACTTGATTTGTCTATACAGCTAACTTCTTAACTTGATCATCTCCAAAGCTGGTCTTTGCCTCCCCGTTCCCAGCTTCAACGTTGACATAGGTAATACAACTAGAATTTGGAAGGTCGGTGACAGCTCCGCTTGTTCTATAGAGCCCATTGTTCTCAATGCCCTCAAGAGTATGATTCTTGGTCTCGGGTATCAGCAAGGTTACAAGAGCAGTGAGCAGCATGATCCCCGAGAACAAACCAAGGACGCCCTCCAAGCCGATTGCATCTTCAACAGTGCCGAAAGCAAATGCAGTTAGAATTGCACCGCATTTTCCAGAAGCAGCAGATATGCCGTGTGCTGTGCCTCGAACACGTGTTGGGAACACTTCGGCGGGAAGCAGGAACGTCGTGCAGTTGGGACCAACCGTCATTAAAAACTGCGAGAGGGCAAAGATAACCATCAAGCCAGCTGTCGGGGTGTTTGCGCTCTGTGTGCTGATTCCAGCCCATATGGCATAAAGTATACACACCATGATACTGGTCCAGAATTGTTGGCGCACACGACCGATGCAATCAGGAAGGAATATTCCGACGTAGAATCCGGGGAGATACCCTGCTACCTGGATGATTATATTGCCCACAGCGGTGTGGTACAGGGTGATCCATGGTGTTGCTCCCTTGGCATAACCGATTCTTGTCAGGATAATGCTCTGGTTGAGATTGATACCGTAGTATGCGATGTCGCTGTGTGCGTTAGTTTGCGGCTTTTCCTTTTTCCAAGTCCACCTAACTTACTACAAGAACCAGGAGGCTGATGTTGCGAACAGCACTTTGGCATGTTGCCAGTGACTGAAGTACTCGCGAAATTCTTCCCACTGCTTCTTGAATGTGCGTTTCTGCCCGGCAGCGTCATCGCAGACATCTAAACAGTATTAGCTATCTTCAAAGCACAAGACCGAGGCACTCTCACATTGCTTGTAAGGTGTTGTCTCCGTGATCGTTAGCCGGGCATAAAGAGTGAACAACGCTGGCACAATTCCAATGCCCAATAGCAAACGCCAGACCCATTCGAGATGGCTTATGTTGTTGGCTATCGCCCCTTTGAATGCCTTGAGCAAGATCAGAAACACAATGCTGGCTGAAATATTGCCGAGGCCGATATTCGAAAAGACAGTCAACACTTGAATAGCACGGGAGCCAAACGGTGATTTTTCTGCCGCCAAAGATGAAGACAATGGATAATCTTTCTCGAGTTAGATCCATGCTTCTATTCCAAAGGAAAAAGACTTACCAGCACCAATTCCAACTCCGGTCACGACACGAAAAATTGCAACCCATGCCGTCACAGACTGGGCCGACATCCCGTTCCAAGGCAACAAGACTACCAATAGGGTTCCAAATATGGTGAGGAGGAGTTCTTTGCCGTAAACGGTGTGGCGACCACAAACATCACTCAGAATTCCAAAAAGAAGCTGGCCAACCACCATTCCCAGGCTCAGACCACCTTTCATGATGTCGCTGTCGACTGACGGTACCTTGTCATCTTGGAAGTATAGGTAACCCAGAATTGGGACCACTGTGTAACATTAGTCTTCGGCCTCATTGATTAATTGAAGCCACTCACCAAGTCCAATTGTCAGGTTAAGATAGCCATCTGCGAAGAATCCAACGCCTGCAGTGGCTACAAACCTCAATTTGGCTCCGAACGATGCCATTGGAACGAATCAAATGATTCTTGAGGTTAAGGAGAGTAGAAGTGATCGAGGAAACAAAATGCGATTCCCTTGCGTTGCACACATTGTTAATTTGGCGAATGGTGATGTTATATACTTCTTTCACATCACGTATAATAGGAGGTATAGCCAAGACATTAGCATCTCGGAGAGAACCACCGGTAGCTTTTCTGCGATATACTTCCTATCGGCCATAGCAGTCGTCATGAATAAGCGCAAGATGCAATGAGCAACGTGCAAGCTGCCACGGGGGATACACAGCTAAAATAGACCGTGCGGTGAGGCCAGTCAGGATTTCCCATCGACCCCACGTGGATCCGGCCTTATCCCGCCAGCTGGTCCCCCGTTTCCCCCGTAAGTATATCTTCGGTGCGAAGTGCGCAACATTATTCGGACGCGGAAAGGTCATGCTGAATTGTCTGAACTCTGGTTGGTGCTTTGTAAGAATTTATCGGATCTGATGCAAACACTGCAAAGTCGAGAACATTATCACTCCGCGGCAACCTCAATTCAGGCACTCATTATGGACATCGAACTACCGTCTCCGCCGCCCGTAAGTGCTTTGCGAGAATCATTCGGCGATCGAAAGCCCCCCGATATTACTCGCAAGATTACTGCTTGTGTAGCATGTCGAAAACAAAAGGTTGGTCCTCTTGAAGTAGATGACAAAGCAAGTAACTGACAGGGAAAGGTCAAATGTCATATGGGGGAGGGTCAGATGCCATGCTCGCGGTGCAAGAAGAGAGGTCTCCCTTGCAGCGTGAACCGAAGCTTGCAGACATTACTAGAAGACGATGTCACGTAAGTACAGACTAATCGTTTGCATTGGCATTTCCTGACAGTATCTAGATGGAAAGGGGCCGTGGTGCAAAAGATGCGGCGGCTAGAAGAGGCTGTTGCAAAGATTGCTGCCAAAGTTGACATGCCCGAGTTTCAAGCTTTGCAAACTGTGCAAGCTGCGCCCGAAATACAAGATAATTCTTTGAGCCCACCGGTTGAGACTATTAATGAGAAAGTTATCGCGGGGGAAATCTCCACCTCAAGTCAACCGTCTCAGCCAAATGAGCACCATGAGCCACCGCAGACATGGGAAGTGATAATGGATCCCCGAGGTGGCCCAGCTTCTATCCCAGCCTCCTGCGTCTCAGAAAGTGGAAAGGCAGGTCTACCAAACAATCCATCAACTTCCCGTCGTCCAGACTTGATATCTACGGGACTTATTTTACTACGCGACGCCGTTTCGTTGTTCGAAACATACCATCTCAGACTTGATCATTTTCTCTATCGTATTCTTGGCGACCATATTAGTTTGGACTCGGTTCGAATCGCATCCCCACTATTGACGGCGGCTGTTTGTACCGTGGCTGCTTTGCATTCGCATTCCCTCGGTCATCTCTTTGAAACTTGCTACGGTGAATACAAGAACGTTGTCGCGGCCCAAACTTTCTCAAGGCATATGAATGAAGATGACATCCGTGGCCTGTGCGTTGGTGCGTTTTGGTTGCATGAACTTTCTTGGGCCTTGATCGGGAATGGTATGTGATGTGGCTGCAATCTTGTGGTGGATTAAAGCTAATGGAACTAGCCGTCCGCATTGCATCGGACATTAATCTTCATAGTGGTATCTACAAAGCCCTCAAAGGAGACCGCGATGGCTATCTTCAAGCTCGACTATACTATCTCGTCTATGTATGCGACCACCACTTTTCGATCGCCTACGGTCGACCTCCGATGTCCAGAGAAGGGTTTATAATTGAGTCGGCTAGTCGAATACTAGAAACTGAACACGCCACAGAAGATGATGCTAGACTAATCAGCCAGGTCAAGGAATGGTCAATCCTGGGTCGAGTCTTCGACACCTTCGGGGTAGATGTTGATACCCCTATTGCACCGCAGACTCTGCCCCAACTGCGTCGATGTTCTATCTCTTTGGATACCTGGTTTGCAGATTGGAGCGAAAGCTTCAAAGCAAATCAGAATGTCGGGAACTATCCGCAAAAGGGCGTGGGTTTTCACTATCATTTTGCAAAGCTATACCTTTGCTCACACGCCTTTCGTGGCGTACCGATATCAGAGAGCTCACCTCAATACATGTCACCTGAATTGGAGGAGATCGCCAATTCCGGCGTATTGTCAGCTATGTCAATTCTTCGGATGATTGTTTCTGATGCCGAATTTCGATCATTCATGAATGGGCTTCCTTTATATTTCGATACTATGCTCGCCTTCGCCGTTGTCTTTCTCCTCAAAGTTGCTACGAAGTATGCCTTCATGGTCAGAATTGATACGACCAAGATCCTTTCACTGGTCACTGACACCGTGGCTGCCCTTCGGGATATCACTCAGTCTATGCATAAACACCATCTCCTTGTGGTCATCAGCGAGGGCTTGGAACGTTTGTCGAGTAGATGCCAAATGTCCGCTCACACAGCCCACGAAACAATGTATCGTACGTCTCCTGCCCAGGAACAACCCCCAGTCTTTGATGCAATTTGGATGGAAAACATGGCAAGCTTTGATTTTCAAACTATCTTCCCTGATATTGACGATTGGTGGCTACATTATAATACATCGATGGAACCTCCTCTTTGATCTCGGGCATCGAGATAGATAAATATCAGATTGCCCAGTTGAGCACAAGATCAAAAACGTCATAGTTTCTCCAGTCCTTCGCCTTAGCCTTGCTCCCATTGTTTGCCGGCTTTGACATAATCAATGGGATCTCTTGCTCGCTTAGGCCTCCATGCGACCGTAACGGGTGGTCTTTCAAGTTTGAGAGATCATGATTCGCTTTGCAGCTGCCAATTACGGCATGCGGTTTGGAAATAACCACAATATCACCCTCCCGGTCCAAAGGCATATCATATCTTGGGGCGGCATCTTCGCCGCTGAGAGCAACCTCGACATCTGGGAGTGACTCGCAGATTGAAATCATCGATCCGAGTTGCGTGATGTCTTTGAGATAGACGCGCACAAAGGACCCGAGTGCACCATGGTGTCGAACGAATGGATCCGTGATGGGGCAGATAACCCTAGAGGCATTCGGCCCAAACTCGGCATTGAGAACTTCCTCCAGGAAGAGAACGTTGGGCTCTCCCAGCTCATTTGACTTTTGGCTCATACCATGGTCACCAGTTACACCGATGACAGGAGCTAGAGCTGCAAGACTCTGCAAACGCTCGTCAATTGCTCCCATGAAATTGTCAGCCTCCTTGCTGCCAGGTTCATACTTGTGCTGGATGTAATCGGACAATGTCAAGTACAAAATGTCCGATCTCTTCTCCTGCAGCAGTTTGATGCCTGCGTCAAGCACAAACAAAGACAAATCGCCCGAATATTGGCTAGGTGCAGGCTGACCGAGCCACTTTTCCACATCGGAAATCCCGTTCTCGTCCAGAGTGCAATCCGCTGCCTTTTCCGAAGAAAAGCAAATGGCTCCCTTTAAGCCGTGGGCAAGGATTTTGCGCAGTTTGTCTTTGGCGGTGATGGCTGACACTCGTACACCACGCCGGAACATCTGCTCCAGTATTGTTGAGCCACGAAGTAGGGAGTCGTCGGTGACCATCTTGGTCTCTCCTGTTTCTCGGTCCAAGAAGAAGTTTCCGGCAATTCCATGTATGGATGGTGGCACGCCTGTAATGATGGATACATTGTTCGGGTTGGTGAATGAGGGCATGCAACTCTTAGCAGTGGCATGGAACCCGTTGTCAAGGAATTTCTTGAAAGTCGGCAGAAGACCTCTCTCAATACCAGACTTCAAGTATTCCGGATCGAAGCCATCAACACAGATCACCACTGTGGGCTGTGTTGGCAGGTGATATTCTTTCGAATGTAGGGTGAACTTCGACCGGGAGTCTGTATATGTTTAGTATATATATTGGGTTGTTAGAGGTCGCTATCGCAATCACACTCACCAATAAGACACTGATAGGCAATTTCCTCATAGGCTTCCAGATCAGGGACTTTCCAATTCGGCTTTTTCGCGAGATCATCCCATCGTCTGACGGAAAGCTTTGCCTCAAGCAGAGGATCCTTTTGCGCCTCCTGGATCTGCTCGTTATTGTACCCGCCACCCTAATTGTCATTAGTATACTCCTAAAATTGAGAATGTAATAAGGGAAAGGTGACCTACCTGGAACTTCAATGTCCGCTTACTGGTCTCACTCAATGCATCATAATAGCATTGATCCGTCGCGACCAAATAGCGCTTAGCCATTACATGCGCACCAACCAGCTTGCACACCTTCTCACTGAAACCAATCTGGCGCAGGTAGAACTCCCCCAGAGCTTCATGGCTTTGTCTTCCGAGATACTGGCCGTCGGGAGTGATCATTTTCTCCATCTTCTCGGCCGCGGGGATGAATCGCCCGACATCGTGCAAAAGTGCAGCCACGATGACCTCAGGGTCGTTTCCATGCTCCGGGGACTGGGTGGCAAGATATGCACACTGTAGCGAGTGTTCCAGTTGAGTTACTTGCTCGCCGAGGTAGTCACCCTGGCCCTGTGCATGCAGAAATTGGAACAATGTTTTGATCGTTGCTCGAGTGTGTTCCTCGACCGAGTCAAGAGGTTGCTCAGTCTTGGAAATAGTCATTTTCATGTTCATTTTGATGAAAGCTTTTGGTTATTCCTCAAGAAATGGTCTGTTGATGGTCTTAAATAGATCCCTTGGTCGTACATAGGGTGTGGTGACATATTAGAAGTCCTTGTAGCATTGGGCTAAATCGCGAATAAAGGCACGAAGTCCGTCTCAGCACGTGCACATGGTGATCTTCTCACTTGCCCCTCCAATAACTCACGATATTCTCAAAGATTCGTGGATGAGCGAATCGCATTCGTCTCGGCACGAAGCCCGTTGGTCTGTGCGGCATCCCATGGGTTTCTGGTTGGCATCGGGACGAACACCTTCACTGAAGTCGCATCCAACGCAATCTAGAACTAATTGAGAAATGGCCCACGGGTCAATTCCTAGGGCAATCGAAGGCCGAATTATCGGAATGGCCCCGCTGTTGAACAACAGAAGTCGATGCGTTTCGAAAAACTATTAAAAGCTCGTAGGTTTACTGCATTCTCACTTCGATCATCTCATTATCTGCCTACTTCGGTGGTTTCGAACAAATTACTCAAAGATGTCGCCTCTTACACCTGAACAAATAGCTTTTTACCATGAGAATGGTTACCTCCTCCTACGCGCCGACGAGCATGAACTCGTTGATCCTACGGAACTCAAGCGATGGACTCAAGAAATCCAGGCCTGGCCTCGTGTCAAGGGCAAATGGATGCCTTACGATGAAATCAACATCAAGGGCGAACGCCAGCTGATGCGCACGGAAAGGTTCATTGAATACCACCCTCAGTTCAAGTCACTAGTCTGCGGCGAGCAGCTGGCGGAGATTCTGAAGGCAGTCTCAGGCGATGTATGTTCATTTCCACAAGACCGAAGCTCTATCAGGAGATCATACTAACATCAAGCTATTAACTGTAGGATATGTTGCTCTTCAAGGAGAAGATCAACTACAAGCAGCCACAGGGAAACGGCTTCCAGGCGCACCTCGATGCACCAGCCTACGACCACATCGGTCGCATTGAACATGTCACCGCCAACATAGCCATTGACGCTGCGACGCCTGAAAACGGATGTCTGGAGGTTGTGCCCGGGTCCCACAAAATGCAAATTGAATTTGCGGCAGGTGGTCGAATCAAGCCTGAATGGGAGCACTCGCACCCATGGACTCCTATTCCACTTGAAATGGGTGATATGCTGATCTTTGGGTCGCATCTCGCCCATCGCTCTGCTGAGAACAAGACCGATAAGAGTCGATCGAGCCTTTATGCTACCTTTCACTCGAGGAGTGACGGGGAGGATCTTCGGGAGCAATACTACAAGCATCGCATGGAGATGTTCCCGCCTGAGCATGGTGAGTTTTCTTTGGAATGTCAAATGTTTAAGGGCCGAGTTGCTGATATATATCTTCTAGAGCGTGAGGCCGGCAAGGATTATTCCAAAGGTTACCAGACCTATGGCTTTGCGGCGCCTTTCACCAAAGCCCCAGAAAAGGCTACTGCGACTGTGGTTGTTTAGGTACTATCATGGGTATCACTATGGCGTTCATCAAATTCAAAATGTTTACTAGGCAACTGTTGAATACCAGATTAAGAAGCCAAGACTTCTATATATTGACAAACCTCCCGAAAATAATAAGCGAAGAGATACGTACAGCTGTATACAAGGTACATATTATTATATAATGGCATATCAAACACCCAAGTCCAAAAAGAAATACGAGCCGAAATCACATAATGCCGAAAACGAGCATTCGAATACTCAGTCATCCTGATATAAGGGCACAACGACATCCCCTACCATCACCGTCCTGCGATCTGGTAGTTCCGAGTCAAAGCCCTCTAGTTCTTCTGGAGAAAGTGCGGAATATCTGCCAAATTTGACCTTCCCATCGATGTTTCGCGTCTTGGCAAGCGTTGAAAACGGCTCAGCGCGTCGGACACCGGTGAACTGATCTATACAAATCATTTGACAACGCTCGCATGCATCGAGAGCATCGAACCGAAGTTGATCTGGTCCAATTCGAAGAGATGACCACCGGTCCTCCGCATATGGTTGTTCCACGTCCCCACGGCGAGCAAGTCGTTCAGCAACGACAATGTTACCCCGGAAGACGTCCGCGGCAACAGTCTTATTGTTGCTATTCTTGGCGTTTGCTTTGATGATCTCATTCAGTCGGTTGACAGATGAACGCGAGACAATTAGAATTGGCGACTCGTTGGATAACGTGATTAGTCTCTGACCACCCTCAAGTACCGGAGGAGGGAAGTCAGGTGGGAATGAGCCTGGCATGATCAGCTTGCGGAAACGGTTCTTCCATGTATTAGGCGTCCGTTGCATCTGTGAATAGCGGTTGGTGGTCTTTGTAGGGAATCTTGCGAGAGTACAGGGCACGCCCAGGAAGTCTGAGAAGAATGCCGAGACCACCGGGGATGTGTAGGCATGGAGAGAAACTCGGTCGCCGCAGACTATTGTGGATTTTTTGGTCGAGCTCGGACAGAAGGATGTGGAGATGAGACTTGTGTCCTCCCAGCCAAGTGAAATCTCAAGGCTGACCTGATCTGACGCCGCGACTGCACCACAAGTAATACGGAGAACTCCTCTTTCAATATCAATTGAGGGTCGTAGAAGACACATGCGAGGAAATCTACTATCATTAGTTTATAAATTTGGATGCTTTTGCTTGGATACGCATACCTTTTCTGACTCAGGGCTGCACCAGTCCCTTGATGAATCAAACACCATTCTCTATCCCAAGCTAGGCCCTCTTTCTTCACTTCCCAACGTTTCCCCTCGGGTATCTTGAAAGCACCGCAACTCTTGATTGGGAATACTGCTAAGCTTTCAACAAAAAAATGAGGAGCAACGACCCCATCGTCTTCGGCCAGAGGATCCAGGGCGACTATGGGTGGAATCTTCTCCACATAGAACTCCTCTATGAAGTTGATCAAGGAGTCTATATCCTTCATATTTGTCGTGGCACCGATACTGACACGCAAAATTCCTGTTGGTCGCCCTCCAAGAACATCATGGTTATCACCACAACGTAATCCCGCAGAGTAATGCCGGCGAAGCTCCGGTCCAGTCCACCCAAGTGACGAGGCAGTTCCCCCAGGATTACAAACGGACCCAGTGCGTATCTGCAGATCTTGCACCGTAGCCAGTTTTTCCACCTCGGTTTTAGGAACCCATTCGCCGCGACTATTGCAAAGATTGAATGCAATAATCGGACCTTGGGTATGCGGGTTGCCATATGCCGAGGTGTGCGATTGATAAATTTGGCAGACTTTTTTCTCATTGAAATGTGCCAATGAAGAAAGCCTATCATAGACTTGTTTTGCGAGGAACCCAGTATGTGCCGAAATGTTCGCCATCGAGCCGAATAAGCGTTCGTGCGTATCTAAGGCTGTGTCCAGAGCTATGATATTGTGAAACGGAAGAGTACCATCCTCTAGCCGCTCATGAATAGATGTTTCTTTTTTCGCATGCCATTGCACGCCAGTGGCCAGGACCATGTCGACGGTGCCTCCGCCAAAAAACTTCCGTCGCTCAAAGACCCGCGCAGCACTTTTGCGGACAATCAAAGCACCCAAATCGGGAAACCCAAAGATTTTGTAAAAGCTGAGGACAGTGAAGTCTGGGGCAGATGAAGACGGACCCAGATCAAGTGGAGCGGTGGATACCAGCGACGCAGCGTCAAGCAGGGTGTATACATTCCCTCCACTTTCGTTTGCCGCGGCTCGGACTTGCTCGCACCATCGAATAGGCAGACGCCGGCCGTTCATATTGGATTGGGCTGGGTAGGCAAGGAGTCTGGGCGCCTTGGACTGGTTACCAGCCAGCTTTAAAATCTCAGCCTCCATCTCGTCATCATTTTGGAAACACTGGTAGCCCATCTCGGCCAACTCTCGTACCCCAATGAGACTGGTATGAGCATCGATGTGGTAGCCATACCAAAATCCTCGATGGTCGGAGTCCCGGAGTGAGTCTGCAACTAGCTTGATGCCAGCAGTTGCGTTTGCCACAAAGACAAGGTCGAACTCATCCGGGTCCGCATTGAAGAAACGCAATACGCGGACTCGGATGTCTTCTGTTCTTTGTGTAGAAAGCTGCGACGACAAAGACATCGAATGAGGGTTTCCAAAAAGATTAGATGTAAGATCACGCGAGAAAGACTCGATCATGGACTTGGCATAGGGTGTTGTCCCAGCATAATCTAGGTATGTTGTTCCTAGTAGAACAGTGGTCAGCATGAATAGAGTGATAGCAGACGGACACTTATACCATTTAGTAGAGGATACTCCTGGTCTCGAATGATGTCCACATCGGCGGAGTAACCTTGACTATAGTTTGAATGGATAGACCCCTGAAAGGTTGATTCCACCATTGTTGAAGTTCAACTTTGGACAGACGCACTTCAACGTCTGTTGTACTTCGTACTTTGTTTGAAATCAAGGTGGCAAATTGTGAAAGAAGGGACTTCCTGTCTAGCAGTACAATCAGCACAATCAGCATAATGGATATCTGGAAGATCCAGAAATAGATCGCATAGTTGTGTAAATGAGTAATATCAAATGGATTTGAAGAAGGAGGTGGGGAGACCTTACCACATATAAGATAGCAGTAGCTATATTCTCATCGGAGGTTACCGATACCAACAAATCAACTAGCCTGGGTATGATCTCCAGTCCACTATAAAGAGATAGGCTATCGGAGGTTTAGAAAATAAGGACATTCCAAGAGTCAGGTATATGGCTTTTATAAGTTGTTTTCAAGTTTTCAAGGCGTGATGTGAAGTGACGAAGAATGCTCGAGATGAGATTCCCCTCGCACGTAGCCCGTGATATATTGGACGTGGCAATAGTTGCTTTGTCATAGCGCCTTATCGTGCCGGCCATTGTTGTCACTATACCACACGCACTATTCTACACTATATACACGATGATCTACAGCGACTCCACTAACTACATTGTGATGCTCATGCACTCTATGCATAATATCAGGGTCACTAGACCCTTTACAGTCACGGACATCCTCATCGGGGAGACATGTTTGAATCAGCCGACACGTTCATGAGTATGTACTATTGGAACTAATGATTAGACGCCCCCACATTATGATACACAATCACATTATTGATCGCTATAGACTTCCAACCAACCATTTGCCTATGCCTGTGAGAACTTATTTGATCATTATAACTTATACCTCACAGGTTCCAATAGCGTCCTAGATGCACGATTTGCAACCCAACCTGCATGGGTGTCTAGGATCCTACTAAAGCTAAAGCACTACATTTAGTCTCATCACAATGCCAGCTTACCCACTCAAGTTTATTACTATTTATATACGAACAGTGTGCCTAATTTCACTGATGATACATTGGGCTGGAAACACGTAGCCATGGGTTGAGCGAATGACACTAAACAATCTATGTCAGTACGTGTGAGTCAAGTGCTAACGCTGTACGGAGTAGACCATCAATCTTGTAATTGTGAAAGAAAAGCTGAAAAAGCTGTAACAGCGCCACTGTAGTGTTCTAACTTGTTTCTAAGGCTGAACTGGGGCTGAACTGATCAGCATCATGGTGACCTTCGTAGGGTGCACTATAGTATACTATTATTGACTATTTGTTCTTGGGGTTCATCCCGTTCTGCTGCTTGTGCTCGCAAGCTGAACATGACTATTCAGCTAGGAGTTTTCTTATTGGTGTTGAGGATGATGAAAGATAACACCGGCCGGATTCATGTAAATGATTTTCTTGGGTACCATTGGGCGATGTGACCGTAGATTGTATTGTACAGATGGGGTTGATAGTATACTTCAAAGACAAAACTCCGTCCCAAGCTCCTGCTATGGCTGGTACAAGTATTTGTGCCGATCCGGTTCGCGTTGGAATCGACAGAGCATTGAAAAGCCAGAATGAACAAACTGGCCAAAATAAAGAAGGGAAAGAAGACGATGCGACGGTGGATGGCGGTGGGGCATCCACATTACCGCTTGGGCCATTGTCTCCAGCCGCGGCCATGACCTCTCTGTTGCGCCGAGTCAGCATTGCTCTAACCACTTCAGGAAGGACCAATAGAGAACTAACCTGCTTCCACATCCTGACCATCTCCGGCATTGCCTCCATCGCCTTGCGACGGTCCTCGAGACGTGACTCCATGGTGCGCTCCCACTTGTGACCCTTGACCTTATGGCCAACACCAGTTCCCTTGACCTGCAAACCACGCTCTGCACGTCGTGTCTCCTTGAATTCAGGTGATTTGCGACTAGGAGGAAGAAGTGCCCCCACATTGTACTTGATGGCCAGCTTCATCAGATCGGCTTGCTGGCGCAGTCCATATTTCGGTGCTTCCCATTTGCCGAATCGCTTGTGTGGAAGAAATGGATTCCGGACATCGTTGCTGGTCACGAGGAGTGCTCGTGAAGGAGTCCAGCCATGCTTTTTCTCTCCTGGTGCACCCTTGGCATCGCGATCTGGTGTGTAAGGGGATTCTACCTTCATTGGTACATAGCCCTCTCCGTTCGCAGGGGCAGGACGGCGGACAGCTGCGGAGTGGGTTTGTGGAGGATACCGAGCGAAGAAATTTACCAGGCGTTGAGGAAGGTTTTCCAACAATGTGCCCGTCTGCTTCGAAACCGACATAGTGGATCAAGATGGTTTGTGATCCTAGTGTGCACGGGTGGTTCTAGGTTGCTTGTGAATGTTCCGGTCAAAAAGTTGATACCGCCCGGGCTCACGCCAAGCTTGTCAGGCGACAAGGCATAAAGTGGTCTTTGCGCCTTATCCCGAAGGCGTCGACGGGTATTTCTGCCACATCGCCATGGACTATACCGCCCTCAAATCCCTGGACCAGGACGGGCCAAAGATATTTCGCCTCAGGCATAAATCAGGACCTGCTATCGCTTGTCTGTCTCGTCTCAACCCCAAGAATTTCTTCCTTTCGCAATCTTCATTGTTACCATCACTGCTATCTTATTAGTACCTGCAAGCTCATCCATCCATATTGTCTTATACCGAGGTATCAACTTCTCGCGCGCATCCTCAGCACTGGACGACCATGGCCGACTATCAGTACGGAGGCTCCGAAGAGGAGAATGCGGAGATTAGAAATCTCGAGACCCAGCTGGTACGTGTTCCATGTGGCATTTGACGAACATGTTCCTTGTCGACTGACATGTCTATCTTTTACAGCTTGATGATCCTGACAACTTCGAAACTTGGGAAAAACTGATTCGCGCCGCGGAGGCCCTCGAGGGTGGAATAACGCGCAATTCCAGCCCCCAGGCCATCACAACCGTTCGCGCAGCCTACGACCGGTTCCTTGCCAAGTTCCCATTGCTCTTTGGATACTGGAAGAAGTATGCCGACCAAGAGTTCTCTCTCACCGGCACTGAGGCCGCTGAGATGGTATGCATACACCCTCCCTGGGCGCCAGCCTCTTCTTTTCCATGGCTTTGTACTAATCCTGTCGCCCTAGGTTTATGAACGAGGCATTGCTAGTATCTCGCCCTCTGTTGATCTCTGGACGAACTACTGTTCGTTCAAGGCGGAAACTTCGCACGACCCCGATATAATTCGAGAGTAAGTGAGAGTAGAGATGGTCTTCTTCCCTTTCCCTATAACCGTTACCGACGCAGCTCGCGAAAGTTCTCGTGATGCCGGTCACATATTTTTTTCTGGATATCTGAATATCCAGTCGGTCTCATTGTCGATGGGTGAGAAACCACTCGCTGCTTTGCTTCTTTGATCTAAGTGGAGTTTACTTCTCACCCATAGCTCACCCAGGCTGCATATCTCCTCTGATTGACCAAATTACGACCTTGCATTGAATGGCAATGAATAGTCTCGTTCGATGGCCCTTTACGGAGCACAGGATGCCCACCTATCCCTTAGCTTCATCTACCGCACTCATTTGATTACTTGGGTTTTCAAACGGACAGAGTTCACTGCTCATGTTTCCCCTGTCTCCTATCACCTCTATCACTCCTATCACTCCTTTCCCACCCATCAGGCACATGTGTCCACATCATGCTAACCTAATATCAACTAGGCTTTTCGAACGAGGTGCGAGCAGTGTCGGTCTTGATTTCCTGTCCCATCCCTTCTGGGATAAGTACATTGAGTTCGAGGAGCGGCTTGAGGCCCACGATAAGATTTTCGCAATTCTTGCACGTGTCATTCATATTCCTATGCACCAATATTCTCGCTACTTTGAGCGGTACCGTCAAATCGCGCAGGGTAGCCCTTTGGCCGAGCGCGCCTCGGCAGAGACCATCGCCGCTTTCCGCGCTGAGATCGAAGCTGCTGGCCCCTGTACTGAAGAAGAGATGACGAAAGCTCTTACAGCGCGCGTGAACAATTACCACCTGGAGGTTTTCGCGCACACTCAGGCTGAGACGACCAGGCGTTGGACTTTCGAATCGGAAATTAAGCGTCCCTATTTCCATGTCACTGAGCTCGATCAAGCTCAGCTGACGAACTGGAAGAAGTATCTTGACTTTGAGGAAGGCGAGGGTTTGTACTCCCGAACTCAATTCCTGTATGAGCGGTGCCTGGTCACTTGTGCCTATTACGACGAGTTCTGGTTCCGATACGCTCGCTGGATGGCTGCTCAGCCTGACAAGGAGGAAGAGGTTCGAATCATATATCAGCGTGCCGCGTATCTCTACGTCCCAATTGCCAATCCCACGATTCGACTCCACTATGCCTACTTCGAAGAGGTGTCAGACCGCGTGGACGTGGCGAAAGATATCCACAACGCTATTCTTATGTATCTCCCCAGCCATGTTGAGACGATTATCTCACTCGCAAATCTGTGTCGTCGCCACGGAGGTCTTGAGGCGGCCATTGAAGTCTACAAGACACAATTGGATTCGCCAGAGTGTGAAATGGCTACAAAGGCTGCTCTCGTTGCCGAATGGGCCCGGCTTTTGTGGAAGATCAAGGGCAGTCCTGACGAGGCGCGCAATGTTTTCCACGAGAATCAGCAATACTACCTCGACAGCCGACCCTTTTGGGGAAGCTATCTCGTCTTCGAGATTGAGCAACCCACCAGCGCGGCTACCGAGTCGGTTCAGTATGAACGTATCAAGCAGGTCATTGCCGACATCCGGTCCAAGAGCGTTCTGCAAGTCGACTCTGTCAAGGAACTTGTGCAAATTTACATGAATTACCTTCTCGAAAGAGGCACCAAGGATGCCGCGAAGGAATACCTGGCCCTGGATCGAGAAATCTACGGTCCTTCATCCGTGGCTTCTGTTCGGACTGGCGGGAATGTGGCGGTGCACCCCACCCCTGCAGAGGGACAGTTTGCTTCGATTCCTCAGATGCAGCCCACACCTGATGCCGCGGCTGCACAGGCGTATGCCTACTACCAACAGACAGCAGCGAACGGCGGTGCCGCTTGAAACCCAACAGTCATATGCACGTCCCTCAAGCCAATGACTGCAACTATGGATACGTTTCTTCACGAATGGGTGCGTTTATGGAAGTTCTGCTGGTGCCTTTTCGGTGTTTTATCTTCGTTTCTTACCCTGGCATATTGACCTGGGTGGGTGAGTTCTTTTTTCATGTAGTATCATCCCCGTTGCCCGTGCTGGGCAACTTTTCCTCCCTCCTGTTCTCTAGCGATATTGCCCCCGCTTAAAGACAGCTTCTTCTCACTTTCGTTAGATGCACTGGTGTCTTGTCCCTTCTTGGGGCTTGACATAAGATTTGCCGATCTGAGATTTGGATCCTTCGGGACCAATTGTATTCTAAGGTGGCTTGTTTTCCAATGAAATTCATTTAAACTGTTTTCAATTGATTCGTCTACGATTGTCTTAGCCTTGTTAGACTTACGCACAACAACTAGATCGTTCCAGTATATTGTGGTTGAGCATGTATAATCCTTTCTACCCCTTTCTAATAATGTAGCCATTGAAGAGGGAAATGCACGATGGGCAGCCTGGTTATGCAGGTAAGACGAGAACGACACAAAAATACCAACCATCCAGGACGGTTCACCATAGTATACAATCTCCTAGTGCACAAACATCTCACAACTTGCTTCTCATTTTTGGGGTGATGATCTGACTAGGCTCTCTCTCTCTAGAACTTTACTTGACAACTAGGCTCCTGCTTTTCTCTGCACTGCACCACGTACTCCGTACTCCGTACTCCGTAGAGTCATATTTCAGTGGGATTTGCATCCCAAGGCCCCAGACACGCTTTACTTCTGCCAGTAGAGAATGTCATATACTATAACGCGCATCACACGTGCGCCCTACTCGGGGTATATAGGCTGGCGGCGTAGAAAGAATATAGCCATCTTACCTACTCCGTACTCTATCGGAGTCTATAGTAGATATGCACGTGATCATGCACACGTGACTACGCGTCTAGCTCTTATCGTATTCCATAGAAATTCCGTCTCTAGTTTCCTTAGCCATCACTTCTCTTGCATATTCAAGTCATGACCAACGGCGCCGAGGGATTCCCTCCACGCCCTCCCTCAGTGGAGCGCCTGCCCAGCCCGCCTCCGCCTCCTCCAGAAGATTTAACCGCTCCTCCACCGCCGCCAGACAGCATCGCTCCTCCACCTCCTCCCGATGATGTGCCACCCCCGCCTCCAGCTGATACCCAGAAGAAGCAAAAGCTAGGATGGGGCGCAAAGAAACCGGCTGTCACTCCACTGAGTGTGGAGGACTTGATACGCAAGAAGAAAGAAGCAGATGCGGCAACTGCAAAAGTAAGCCTGTCCTCTTCCGATGATGATACATGACGCAAGATTCCGTGCCTTTTACTCACATTTACATCTTCTTGTAGCCTAAATTCTTGTCTAAAGCTCAACGAGAGAAAATCGCTCTGGAGAAACGGGCTCAAGAGGTTGAGGCAGAGCGGCAAGCCAAGGCTCGCACCAACGGCGCTGATCGCAACGGTCTCATATCTGCACCATCGTCTGTGAGGCGCCAAGAGCCTCGCAATGTGCGGGATGAACCAGTGGTCCGTCATGTCCCCACCGGGCCGCGAGCGATGCGTGACGAACATCCAACTGGACCTGGTGGTATGCGAAAGGGAGGCCGTCAGCACAATCAACACAATCGCGACCAGGATATGCCGCCACCCCCATCTAAGACTAAAGGCGAAAAGCGTCTGACGGAAGAAGACGAAGCGGCAGCACTAGCTACATTGACTAAGCACCGATACATGGGAGCCGACCAGACATCTAACTTCTCGGCAAAGAAGAAGCGCAAGCGTACTGCAGACCGAAAGTTCAACTTTGAATGGAACACCGAGGAAGACACAAGCGGAGACTATAACCCCCTATACCAGCGCCGACAGGAAGCCAACTTCTTTGGCCGAGGGCGTTTGGCAGGCTTTGGTGACGATGTCGCCGATGAGGTTGCGCGCAAATACGCAGAGGCACTGGTGAGCCGCGATCACGAAGCTGGTAGCGCGCGAGCCAAACAAATGCTGGAGATGGAACGCCGGCGACGCGAGGATAGTACCCGCACGCAGATTGACAAGCATTGGAGTGAGAAGCGCTTGGACCTCATGCGTGAGCGAGACTGGCGTATTTTCAAGGAGGATTTCAACATTGCCACCAAAGGCGGCAGCGTACCCAATCCCATGCGTTCGTGGGAAGAGAGTCCATTGCCAAAGCGCTTGTTGGAGCTTATTGACCGTGTCGGATATAAGGACCCAACAGCCATTCAGCGCGCGGCAATCCCCATCGCCATGCAGTCGCGTGACCTGATTGGTGTGGCCGTGACAGGTTCCGGTAAAACCGCTGCATTCCTCCTCCCACTTTTAGTCTACATCTCGGCGCTACCGCGTCTTGACGAGAATGAGTGGCGCAAAAACGACGGTCCATACGCTATTGTTCTAGCACCCACACGTGAATTGGCGCAGCAGATCGAGATCGAAGCCAAGAAGTTTACACAACCCCTTGGTTTCAACGTGGTCAGTATTGTCGGTGGTCACTCGCTTGAAGAGCAAGCATTCAGCCTGCGCGATGGCGCCGAAATTATCATTGCCACTCCTGGTCGTCTAGTTGACTGTATCGAGCGTCGCATGCTAGTCCTCAGTCAGTGCTGCTACGTGATTATGGATGAAGCAGATCGTATGATCGATCTTGGGTTCGAAGAGCCTGTCAACAAGATCCTGGATGCCCTCCCCGTCACGAACGAAAAGCCTGATACAGAGGAAGCTGAGAATTCAGCTGCAATGAGCCAACACCAGTACCGCCAGACCATGATGTACACAGCCACTATGCCTGCCGCAGTCGAGCGCATTGCTCGTAAGTACCTCCGCCGACCAGCCATTATCACCATCGGTGGCGTTGGTGAAGCCGTCGACACAGTTGAGCAGCGTGTGGAGATGATCTCCGGCGAAGACAAACGCAAGAAGCGCCTCGGCGAAATCCTCTCATCAGGCGAGTTCCGTCCACCGATTATCGTGTTCGTCAACATCAAGCGAAACTGTGACGCTATCGCTCGCGAAATCAAACAATGGGGTTTCTCCTCGGTTACTTTACACGGTTCCAAAACCCAAGACCAGCGTGAAGCCGCGCTCGCTTCCGTGCGCAACGGCTCAACAGACGTTCTCGTCGCAACTGACCTCGCAGGAAGAGGTATCGATGTCCCGGATGTGTCACTGGTCGTTAACTTCAACATGGCGACTTCGATCGAAAGCTACACTCATCGTGTCGGTCGTACTGGTCGTGCTGGAAAGAGTGGTGTTGCTATCACCTTCCTGGGCAGCGAGGATAGCGATGTCATGTATGTTACACCCGTTCCTCTCCGTTTAACATCTGGTTGCGGTCTTGATTTACTAATGCTTATGCAGGTACGATCTCAAACAAATGCTGATCAAGTCACCCATATCGCGTGTCCCCGAGGAACTGCGCAAGCACGAAGCGGCGCAGTCCAAGCCCTCACGCGGTCCTGGCGGGAAGAAGATCGAGGACAGTTCTGGGTTCGGAGGAAAGGGAGGGTGGGCGTAGGCCTCTCTGCCATTTCTCTCTTTTTTCTGTATTATTTTCCATCGATACCACCTGTTTTTTCCCCCGCTATGGGGTGTTTTGTTAGCAATCAACATGATCTCGGAGGCTTCTATGTCATCACTAACTAGTGGCGCCGGTTGCCAAATACCATGCAGTTAGTCATTCCAATCAAGGCTTGCCTAGCTAGCCGTAGTCCATACAAGCACTTACTCTACAAGATATGAAATAATTGAGTGGAGTATGATTTTAGCTCAAAGAAGCACATCCCGCGTGCTTTCCGTAGGTGACAACGTAGAGATAATGTGCAGTAGAAGGCAAGTTCGAGCTGCTAACGCTGGAAAACAAAGAATCCCCGTGTATCCAAAATATTTATGAACATTGTTCAGCCACTTTTTTATAGACTTACAGCTTGCTCTGGAGATAGCTGTTGCTGCTTAGCCACTGCTCAACATCGTCGCGGTCACGCTTGAGCCAGTTAATCTTGGCGCGGATAGAGTCGAGGCTCTGCTCAACAGCGCGGTCGAAGCCCTGCAAGAAAAATTCAAATTAGTAAATATTACAAGGATAGAAAACCCAGGTGAAACCTTGGTGAAGTCACTTACCTTAGTGTCCTTAGAGGCGAAGAACTGTTCAACGTCCTTCAACTGCGCCTCGGTGCAGAAACTGGCAGTGGTCAGCTGGACAACAGTGCCCAGCATGCCGAGACCGGGAGGAAGACGCTTGTAGATCTCATCCCAGTTAGACTTGAGCCAGTTCCAGCGGCTATCGACACCAGCCGGATGGCTGCGGAGACCGCCAAGAGGCATATAAATATCCTGGCTCTTGACCTCCTCGCTCATGGCAAGGCCAAGAGTACGTTGGATAAGCTCGGGGTCTTCGGAGGCACCTAGGCAGCGCAGGGCGGTGACCTTCTCGTCCGAAGTCTGGGCATGGCGAGACCGATCTAGGACCACTTCGTACTCCTTGAGACCACCGTGCTTCAGCGCAATGGTGAAAACACTACCACGGATGTTGGGGTGGATGGCGGAGAGGTCGCCAGCAGCGAAGCGGGTGAACATGTCCAAGGCGGCCTTGACCACAGTCGGGTCCTCAGCCATACCGGCAGAGCCGAACATGAGCGCTTTGAACTGTTGCAAAATGTGATCGTCGTTCTCGGGGAACTCCCAGCCGATTTCGTGGGCCTTGGGGGCAACCAGCGAGCGCTGGAAGGCCTTGAGGGCGTCCTTTGTCTTATCGTCCTCGAATAGCCAAGCAGCACGCAGGGTGCCGATACGGGTCAAGATCTCGTTCCAAACGACAAACTCAGACTCAGTATCGAGGCCCTGGAGCAAGGAAAGCATACCAGAGGTACGCTGGAAACCAGAAGCTGCCAGGGCACCCGAGTCGGCAATCATGCCGGCACGGTCCTCGACACTCAGACGG